TTTTTTTTTTTTTTGGGCTAATAGATAATGTAGTATTAATTTTTTGGAGAATATGTTTAAAAAATAACGAGAAATTTTGGATTTATATGAAAATTATTTTATCGAGAGAATATATGATTGAAAGCGAATTTGAAAAAAAAAATGAATTTTTTAAAAATGGGGGCTCAAACAGTGACAATAATACCGTGTTTCAAAAAAGATCGTATATTATTATCAACCAATTAGATAATTCAATAATCTACTACAACATGTGGCAACTAAAAAAATTCGCGACAAAGTAATTTTATTTAGATCGAAAAAATTGGTTAATGTTGAATAATTATTTACGAGGATAAAATCTTAGAAAATATATATTTTTCAGCATATAATATGGTGGGAGCATGAAGATTTGGCGCCATTTTTTCTTCATATTCATCGATAAAAATAGATTTTATCAAACAAAAATTGTATAGGTATTTAAGTTAATATAAAGAAGACAATTTTGACTGAAAGTTCCGTCACTACAAAATAATAATGCAAGAATGATTATTATTATTATTTTTTATGTCAGTGATGATTTCAGAAAATATTTTAACAAATGGAATTTATCAATGAAATTTTTCTACGGGATTTTCGTTGAGAAATAAAGTAATAAACAATAGCTATGACCAATTGTAAATAAAATGAAAATCTAATTTTCTTAAGAGTAAATATACTAAATTGAATAAATATAATTATTGAATTATGTCAATAAATAAAGTAATAGTTATAAAATATTTTAAAAAAAATTCATCTCTCATATTGAAAATAAATAAGAAAAGATAAATATCTCAAGTTACTTATATAATATTTCGTCAGTAAATTAATAATATTTTTCATTGATTACAAAGAGAGAAATCGACGATAGCATCTCATTTAAGAGCTTTGTTGGTGATTGTCACAATTTTAATGAGCATCCAAAGTATGCTTTTGTTTGTTTTTGTATATATTCCCATCACTTGTTACTTTAATCTTTTTTGAGGAAAAAATGGCCATGGAACAAAAGGCCAAGGAAAAGTGAACAAAAAAAAGGAATCAATCAATGAACTCATAATTGAATCCATTGGATAATGGAATGTGTCTCAAGTTGAAAGTGACATAAAAAAAAAAAGTTCAAATGTTCTTCAAAGAGTTCACGGGTTCATTTATCTACATTTCAAACATGTGAGATTTTTTTATAATCATTTTTTCTTTAATATTTTGAATGCAATTCAGTCTATTGTTTAGAATTAATGATTTCATCGCATATTTATTGTTATACATATGTTTTATGAGACATACGTAATGAGAGAGATCCCGGATTATTTGATTGGATTTGACAAAGAACATGGTAAGACTAGGTACTAGTCATGTCAGACACATGATCATAACAACCTTATCGTGGGCTTGGGCATGGTTTGGACTTTATGATGGGCAAACCCGAGTTAGTACCCTATTTGTTTGTCTCACCCACACCAAAGTTCTCAATATTATAATTTTTTAAAAGTTGACTTGATCGTTGGAGTATTAACCGTTCGTCGGTCCTTTTCTTTGGATGGTGATCTTAGTGCATGACAGTTTGCCTAAGTGTAAGGTAACATACAAGTGGATACGTAGGTGACAAGGATCTGCTGACAACGAGATCGTTCAGAATTTAATGTCAACACTTATTATCGAGGTAATTGATGTATACTGTTTCTAAAGGCATGTTGATTTGTGAGGTTTCATTCAGAAAAATTAATCTATCACATAGAATAAAAGTTCCTTCATAAACTCAGGATTATCTTCACGTCTAGCCGTTGAGAGACTTTATTTGCAAAATTCCACATTTTCCTAGCATGAAATATGTTTAACCATTATAAAAATAGATCCCATTCTTTGACATGCTAGATAAGCACCATGTCTTGTGAAGAATTTATGCATTTCAGAGTTTAGGTTAAGAGTAAAAATCACAGTACTTCGGCTCAATTCAAATCCCAAAGCCCTAATTTTGATTGCCAACACAACATTTAGCAATGTAGCAATATGATCTCCCTTTTGTTTATTCATCTGATACACATAATTACAACCTTGTTTTGTAACAACAAACATATAATCCATTATAAGTCAAACCATGAAAAAAAAAATGAAGAAGAAAAATAGCACACTCAATTTTAACACTTCTGGGATCAGAATCCTAAATCTATGTTCCATCGACATGTCCGATGGCCTTTTGAAATCACCCTTAAGTCGAATTATTACCATTAAAAGAAAACCTTGACTAGGGACCATAGCCGTATGAAGAACTAAACCCGACAGCAGCGCCACGGATAGGAGTCTGTTGTCTATTTACTTGGCCAGAATAGAGATAAGTTCTGCTCTTGTAGTTAGTCGATAAGGTCGAACCCTTTTCAGAAATAGTGTCGAAATCCCAAGGACCACGACTAAACTTCATGCTCATACCATGATCCTCTAACTGCATCCTTTGCCTTGGAGCACTCTGTGACCTAACCTTAGCGCGGAATGATTCCGTATTTGTCATGTAATTGGGATGACCGATGTTATCACTGAACTTGCCTTTGGAGCACTCACTTCTTGCAGGTGTAAATGGTCCTCTTCGACTTCTACTGCTACTAGGCCTGGAGGAAGGAGAATGTAATCTTGGGCTATTTTCAGCTGTCCATGCAGCAGCTTGGTCTCGCTCTGGACAGAACTTTACTGACCTTAAGGATGTGACTTCCTCCGATGATATGCTAGGATTAGGTTTCTGAAATTTTACTGCATTTTTAGAAAAGGAGAAGTCGGGTTTTGCATAGTTCTGTCCATTTTCATTCCAAACCGAAGTGCGTTGTGTAGTATGAAACATTCTGTCACTTTGTCTAGAGTTTAGACGAGGCTTCCATGTATCTATTTCCAGTATCTTGTCACTTCTCTCATCATCACCGCACCCGGTTTTAAGGGACGTATCTTTATAGTTATTCCATGCACATTCTTCCATCCAGTGATCTAACCAGTTCGAATCTAGTTTTAAGCTTCCCATGTTCATATGTGATCTGGAACCGGATTTCTACATTTGTAGTAGCCCAAAGGACAATTAATTCATTTGTAACACTATTATTTGGATTCAGTCCCTGAGACGGATCTGAAAAATGCAGAAACAAAAATACTGGCAAGGAAACTTAAGTAGTTACCTTGAGGATGGGGTCATCGTGTTTGGCACTGGATGGCCGCCATTCATAATTTCTGTGATTTGTGATGCCCTGCAGGTAAATGTTTATATGACTGAATATCCACACAAACTGGATTTCTCGGATCATAAAATAGCATACATGGTAGTGATTAATAAAGTTTTGCTGAAAAAAATTGAGAGAACGAGACTGCACGCGTCAAAGTTTAGTCTCCTAATTAATCAATAAAATTTTCACTTGAGCAAGTCATCGAGAATTGGTAAAGGAGATATTTTTGAGGTCATTGTAGTCGAAAGAACTGAAGTTTTTCCTCGTTGCGGTTAGCTAAAATGATGGCATCAGTTTGTGGGCGAACACAAAGGCAACCAGGCACATTCAAAAGCAAGTTTAAATTGATGCCAGAAATCTACTAGCATGCTTCTACTAGAAACAAGAGATTCAAGCTAAAAGGAGATTATCCTTACGGGGTGATGAGAACCAGAGAACTTGATGGCCGGATTAGAGGGCTCCGAAACATAAGCTCGATGTGCAGATGCTCGAGCCTGGATTCGAGCCATTGCTTGCATGCGACGAAGCATATGTGCACTTTGCTTTCTAACAATGTGGCCTCTTACAAGGGCTTGAAGCTTTACAAGTCCCTTAAGTGCCCTCAATGCCCTTCTAGCCTGCAACACGTCCACAAATAAATCAAATACCAGTACTTTTTCACCTAATAATATGCGCAACGATCGATAATCTAACAAACTTATAAATTTCAATCTGCATACCGCTCAATATTACAGAAGATAGTCATAAGTTAAGCCAAAATTTTCATAATTGATTGCTCGTAGGACGGCGTCTAATTATATCGGTTTGCGGAAAATGAGTGGACAAAATAATTTTTGTCAACAACATAGGGCCATGGACAGAATCTGAGTCACTAACAAAGCTTAAGAATAAAATTGAGAAGCACCTTTTCTGCAATGTATTTTCAAATGAAAAAATTATAACAAGCATTTGTTAATCTTTTAAAATTCATGATCATGTTCTACTAATCATTTCTTTGCCATAAATAAACATGCCAAGTTGTAATCAGCACTATTTGCTTTACTGCTAATGATGAGTGTCTCATACCCAAAAAGCAATAGGGCATAGCCGCAGAGGATCGACAAAAAATATATCAAGAACCAGTCAATTCACCTCAAAAGTTTACCATCATTTTTTACTTAACCACCGGTTGGACTGCAGTTCGACCCTGATTTTCGAATATTTACCTTTCAAAGTCAATACCTGAGAGGCTGTTTTTAAAACAGCGGTCTTCATTGTTGCAAGGGCAGTATTCAAACTAGTTCAACATTGAAGTGTCACCACCACCCATTTATGACAATTCAACACGTCAGTTTTTATCCATGTTCTAAAAAACGTGAAAAAGCGCCGCTTAGGCGCGCCTAGGCGCGACGCGCGATCAAAACGCGTCGAATTCGGGAAATGCGGGAAAAATGCGTTTTCCAATTAAAATGCGCGCCTAATGCGCGCATTATCCCGCCAATCCCCCCTTTTTTTTAAAATTTGTTTTTTTTTTATATATTAAAAAATCTATTTTTTTTATATAAAAATATATTTAATGCCTTAAAAATACGAAACGCATTATGACGCTTATTCTTCGCATTGACACGCCTAAACTTGTAATTCTTGATTTTCGGCCTCGACGCTTCGCAACGCATTACGCATTTTAGAACACTGGTTTTTATGAAGAAAACGAAATGGTCTCAGTCTCACTACGTGTTGGGACTCATTGAAGATGAAATAAAAATAAAAAAACCATTTTGTGTGTAAGTATCACCATCACACCATCGATTAATACTCTCGAGAATGTTAGTGTACAAAAGAATTGAATCTCCAACTATCCTCCTCAAGATATTTAAATTTTTAAGCCAAGTAATTTACTAAGCTGTCTGGTACAAGGAAGTAAAGATACCTACACCTACTCTACCTAATTCAAGAAAATTTTATCATCTGCCACAAGCTCTAAAGTTAAAATGAAAAAGAAATGCACTTTAATCCCAACACGTCAACCCACCAAGAAATAATGCATATATATTTAACCCCCATTTGGTGGTTCAACTAAAAAGTTAGATTAAAATTTAAGTCAAAGTCATATAATTAATTTTAGGACACACAATTTTTTTTCCACACATTTCATCAAGTTTGATCGAAATATACTAAAATTCTAGTTTTTATCTAAATAAAACAAGAGCTTAGACGAGATTGAATTATCTAGTACGTAATACTAGATGAGATTGAACCATACACTAGAAATTAATTTCTTTTCTCTTTCTTAACAACGTCAATTACTATCCAATCTTATCGTACCACATGCTAGTCGAGGGCAAGGATAACGGGTAGTCAGTTCTCTATGATTGTGAAGTGTCATAGCCACTAGTGCCATTGAGTCCCACACCTTGCCTCATGACCCTTGAACATCAATTTAATCTTTTTCAAAAGAAACCCACATATGACGTGACAACAAATTAAAAGTTTATATTAAAAAAAAAAATCCATTTTTTAATTTCATGAAAAAGATAGAGAAACTATAAAGGCTTTATTTGAGCCAAATTATTATAGAATGAGAATAAAAAATATGCTTTTATTGGGGTAAAAAAATTTGAATTTAAATGTTTATGTGATGGATAACAGTTATATTTTTCATTTTAATGAGATAATAATGTAGATCAAATGGGGGCAAAATTGATTGTTTTTTATATTTGTTTTGAGAAAGATGGAGAAACTAAAAAAATTTTATTAGATGAATTCAAGGCTAAATTGATTGTTTTTTATATTTGTTTTGAAAAAGATGGAGAAACTATAAAATTTTATTAGATGAATTCAAGGCTAAATTGATTGTTTTTTATATTTTTTTTTGCCAATTACCAATAATACAGGTGATTAAGAGACAACATTAACTCAATCGAAGCTAAACTGATATAAACTAAAATCTACTTACCAAATAAGCTCGGAACTCCGATTGAATCTTGACAGCCGCAAATACGCGCCGCCGGTCACTACCGCCGCCGTGACTAACATATGCCAGGGCACTTCTACTACTTGCATCCCCACTTGTAAGCCTGACCACCTCGGCAGCTGCCTGAGCAGCCGCCAGAGCAGCTTCTGCCACAGCCGCTGTTGCTGCCGCCACCGCTATCGCGTGCTTGTTGGCATCCAGTGCCTCACCATATGGGCTAGCCGAAGAATCTTCGTCATTTTTGAACTGCGATCCAAGGATGCTTCTCTGGCTAGATGTATCAGATAATTTAACAAGACCCCACTTACTCTTCTTCTTTTCCTTGCCCGCCTCCGCCTGCGGCGGTGACGATGTTGCCGGTGATGGTTCCGGGAGCGACTTTTTTGAGCCCAGAAGTGAACGGAACCATTTGCTGGTCTTACCCATATCTCAATGACTCAATAGGTTCATTCATTTTCTTGAAGAAAACATTTTAGAGAGAGAGAGAGAGAGTGAGAGAGGCATTTATTTGAAGTGGAGGTTGGGTGAGGGTTTGAAAAAGACGCGCGAGAAGAGGGAGATTGGGGGAGACGAGCGGTGGTGGTGTGGTTGTGGTTGGGACCCGTTGGTTTTAATGCAGACGACAACAGACAGATGAGACCATGGTCCAACTCGAAATTGAAAAATAAGATTTTTCGTCAACTACTCTATTTTTGTACATTTTTCTCTAGTCTGTGATGAGTGACGACGCTTGTGAGTTCACTATTTTGTACTGTACGGGATCTGGTACAAAAAAATTTGTCCCCGTAAATGGTATCGTTGTTGGATGCGATTCGTCATTTGTATATTCACTATTTGTACTTGCATTTTTGTCAAAAAGTGATTTTGTGAAAAAAACAATTTGATCTTCATTTTTCATAAACTTATTTTCAATCATAAATTCTTTCAATAAAATAGTTTTATATATATATTCAAATTTTTTCTAATTTTTAACCACACATCCACAAAAAAATCACTATAGCTTTATTTTCCAAACAAATGGGGCGTAGACAAACCCTATGTTTTTGTTTGATTGTGATTTTTTAAAAATAGATTATGTGAAATTTTTTTTTCCAGAATATAAGATTAAAAAGTAAGAATTTTTTTGAAGTTAAGTACAAAATTATTTTATTTGAAGGATATATTGTTAATTTTTGCTTTTGCTTCTACTTGTAGAAAAACTTATTGAAAAAGTTACTTATAACTAGTTTTCTCTAAAAATTCTTCATGTTCGACAAGAAACTTTTAGAAAACCATTCGAACATATTCAAAAGTGATTTCTTTATTTCGGAAATATTTTCTAACTTTTCAAAAGCACTGCGCCTTTACATTATAGATTTCTTAGAATAGTAAAAGCATCTCCAAGTTATTTTAATTTTTAAAGAGCGCTTGATTATAATAAAGAGCATCTTTATATTTAAAGAATATTAGAGCATTTTCAAGAGGCTTTTTAAATATTAAATGCTCACTATTTTAAATAGTCAACCCTTAAAATCATGTTCCAAAAGACTTTTTAAATTAACATTTTAAGAGCATCTCCAAAAGAATTTTTAAACATATGATCATCTTTGTTAGAATTTCGGTATGGCCTGAATTCTATTTTAAAGGTACATTTGGAATTGATTGTTTGTAATGGAGAAATCTTGAAAAAGTAGAAGACTTTTGGATAAGTCTTGAAGAAGTAGAATACTATAAGAAGTAAAAGAAGACGAAAGATGGATCAGGATAAAAAAGTCATCGCGAAATCTCTCGCGATCTCTCATTAGGTGCTTGAGCGCTCAGAACAGAACTTTCGTTGCTCGCTAGGCACGAGTCGGCCGCTTGCACGACAATAGCACTACTTGCTAGCCGCAAGGGTGTCCCTTGAGCGATAGCTTTATCCAAAATTTTAGGGTTTTGCGATTTGGCCACTTTCGGGACCCCTATTTCAATTTAAATACAATGTTATTGGTTTTACCTATTGTAATTAGAGTTCACCTTGTTTTAGAATCTTGTTTGTAATAGTTCTTTTAGCATGTTAGAGATTCTTGTATTATAAAAATGTGGTTTAGACTTAGAGAGTGATCCAGTAGATCCAGATTAATAGAAGAGATTCATAGATAGAGAGATCATGATAGAGTCTTGTGAGATCCAACATAACATATTGTAACTCTTTACTTTTGATATAATGATTTTTCCGCCTCTGCCCATGGTTTTCCCCATCTTGGGTTTCCATGTAAATCTTGTGCTCTTATGATTGTTATTTTCATATTACCTGTATCCCGTCTTTAATATTTATAATAATTGGCTCAATTTCTAACAAATGGTACCAGAGTTAAGATTGCCAGTTTCTAGGAGATCCAGTTTGGTTTCGTATTATAGCAATGTTTGATCAACTCAGAATGAGATTTGATTGTTTCGGAATAACAAGTATGAAATTTAAAAATTTGGTTTTGGATCACAACACCAGATTGTCTTTGTCTCATATTAAGATACCAGCAGCTCTCGCCCAATTGGATTTGGACAGTGCTCTATTGGGGCTAAATAAGATGCCCTCAACTTTGATACGGGTGAGAAGCAATGCAAGGATTGGAAGGCCCTACCAGATATACATCTTCATCTTTCGAATCAAATTCTTTAGAACGTGTTAAATGAGAAAAGTGTTGTTGCATTATAGTTGAAGTTGAAATAGTTATGCATGACTCGAAGTCTAACCAACAAATTGCACCTGAAGTAGCATTTATATTCTCATCGTATGATAAAAGGCGTAAGGAAGATAATCTGTCTGTTTTCAAAGAAATCGTCGCTGATTTGGAAACCACATAGGTAAAGTACGAAGAATAGGGCTTAGGGTTATTTTCTTTGTCTGTTTCATATATGAAATTTAAGGACACCATCTTTTATAGCCGAGATACTCTTACCATTGATAAATTTTATCACACACTTTATTCTAAAGAGAAGGTAAAGCAGCTAGTCTCGAATTGGAGGCCCCGATAGCAAATCTTATTGTTCATGAGAAAAATTTGGGTGGTCATGGAAGGGGTATCTTTAAGTCTAATAATAGTGATATAATATGTTATTATTGTAATAAAAAGAGCACACGAAGAATGATTGTTATAAGTGTTAGAACATGGATAAATTAATTGCTATAGATCAGAAGGAATAATGAGATAATTCCAGTGAAGCCAGCTTTGTAGAAGATGACTGCGGTGATGGAAATCTTTTAGTTATTTCTGATGGCGACTCTAAATGTACGAGAATTGGATTCATGATATGGCTTGCACTTTTCATATGTGTTCTAATTGTGATTGATTTTCAACATATGAAATTGTTTGAAGGGATTTCGTGGAAATGAAAAATAATTCGCTTTGTAAGATCGCCAGTATTGATAAGATCAAAATTAATATGTTTGATGGGATGGTTAGAACACTAGTGAAGTTAGATATGTTCCAGATTTGAACCGAAATATTATCTTATTGAGTATTTTTTAATTCAAAAGGGTATAATAAAGAGGTAGAGAAAGTTCTAGTTATATGTCTTGCAAGGTTCGACGATCACGTTTGATGCAATTGTCACTAAATTCTATTGGAAAACAATGTTTGGATTCAATTCACAGTTATTGAGTTTGCCCTTAAGGCCTTTGTGTAAGAGATGGAGTAGTTTGGAATGTTCCGTTTGGCGAATTTTTGGAGTTTGTTGAAGAGTTCAGTTTTATTCATTGTAGTGTAATTCTTGTTAAAGTGGATATATGTTAGAATTTTGCGTAACCCTAATTCTGTTTTAGAGCTATATTCGAAGTTGCTTGTTCATTTTTGGAGAAGTCTTGAAGAAGTAAAAAACTTTTGGAGAAATCTCGAAGAAGTAGAAGACTAAAAGGAGTCAAAAAAGACAAAAGATGGACCAAGGCAGAGAAGTCACCGCAAAATCACTTGCTAGCTGCTCATCAGGTGCTCCAGCACTCAAAATAGGACCCGACCACTCACTAGGCTTGAGCTGGACGCTTGAGTGACAATGGCACCGCTCACTAGCCTCGAGGGTGTCGCTTGAGCTGTAGCTTTATCCTAATTTTCAAGGTTTTGCCATTTAGCCAGTTTTGGGATTCCAATTTTAACCCAAATATATGTTATTGGTTTAACCTATAGTAATAGGATTTCACATTATGTTAGATTCTTATTTGTATTAATTCTCTTAGTATGTTAGGTACTTTTGTATTATACATATGTGATTTATTACACATATTTAATTGATTTGACTTTGAAAGTGATCTAGTAGATCCAAATTAATAGAGATAGACACTCAGTAGATAGAGAGATCAAGAGATAGTCTTGTGGTATCCAACATCATATATTGTAACTCCTTACTTTTGATATAGTGAATTTTCCACCTCTACTCGTGATTTTTCTCATCTTGAATTTTTACATAAATCTTGTATTATTTTGATTATTATTTTCATATTGCCTATATCTCGTATCTTTAATATTCATAACAATTGGCTAAATTTTTGATACTCTCTGGTTTAAAGAGTCAACTTTAGAAGTTTACTACAAGAAACTCTTTAAATTAATATTTTAATTTAGAGAGTGAGTTTGACTATCCAAATTTGAAGAGCCAAAAACTCTATATAATTATATACATTCAAAGTATTTTAATTTTCAATGGAGAGAAATAATATAAAGATTTGGAAGAATATTAGTGAAAATAAAAAATAAGGAAAAATAATAAATATTTTTTGGAAGTAATAAAATTAAATGTTAAATATAAAGAGATTATTGGAGTATTTAAAAATTTTTACTCTCTAAACTCATAAATACTCTCTAAACTCATAAATATTCTCTAAATGGTAGAATATATTCTTTAATAATAAAGAGTTTATTGTAGATACTCTAAAATAGCAGCGAGTTTGACTCTTCGAATTTAGAGAGCTAAACAGATTTTCTATAATTAAATACATTCAAAGTATATCAATTTTTTTTTAAAAAAAAAATAGGCAGTCTCTATTTAATTTTACATTATAAATTTAATCTTATGTAAATTTACGCATATGTATAAAACAATGCTATTTGTAGTCACTCACTGCAGCAGTCGCCATATGTGGCGCACACACATGTCAAGTGGGTATTTAATGCATTAATATGGTAAAAAATTACCACATTAATGTATCAAATAACTACATGTCATGTATGTGCTACATAGGGTGACTGTTGCAGTGAGCAACTATGAATAGTATTACTCATATATATATACACACACATATATCACCCTAAATTCATCCACTATATTTATTTTCATTAAATTCTTACGAGATCAACTGCTAAAAGAATCCACCTGCCTTTTAGCATAAAACAATCATGAGTTTTAGCATGAAACAATCACATAGCTGACTTGTATGAAGCAATATTACCCAAAATTGCATGCTTAGATTGGTGGAA